TTGGTTTTTCCTAAAATGTGTGCCTCTGACACAGATTCAAAATATTTTTGTGGCCAAAGAAGTGTGGAAAAGCTACATATCAATAATAGTGCCAAGGAGTAGCTTAGGGCTCTAAACACCCCCATTATGTCTATTAGCATCCCCAGATCACCCCACAATAAACACTCTCATAAAACTGTACAAAACAAAGGTAACTGAAGGACCTATCCGAGTATCTTTTTAAAAATTTTTTTAAAGATTTTATTGGGGAATCAGGGGAAGGGGAACAGACAAGTTGCTGTCCTTTTGTTCTTCAGTCTAGTTGTGGAGGACGTCGCTTCACTGGCCCATGTTGGTATTATCATTGCGCTCCTCCCGGGTGAGGCAGTCGCTCCCCGACCATTGGACAGCTGCTCATGGCAGCTCTTGGCAGCTCACATTAGCTGCCGGCCAGCCCCACCGCAGCCTATGCAGGCGACTCATGGCAACCCAGCTCCAGGTCAAGCTGTTGTTCACCATCTTAGCTGTAGAGGGCGCAGTGGCACTGGCCCTCATGTGGGATCCGAATCGGGGGCCTGCTGCTCAGAGCTGGCGTCCCAAGCCAACTCTTAACCAAGGTGCCACTCGGCTGGCCCTATCCGAGTATCTTATGCTGCAAACAGATGCTTGACGCTAAGCCCTTCCTCTCCCTAGACATTCTGGAGCCGTTCCTGCTGCTCTCTGGAAAGAGTCACAATGTCATCAGCATAGAAAGGCTCTGAGAAGGCCTACAAGGAGAAAAAGAAAACTAACTTATCATTTCCTAAACTCATTTGACTGTAGAACCATTCCCTCAATGATACCTATTAACATCCATAGAATTCATGGAGCACACCTTAGCAAATACCAGGGTATAGGAAAATTAACACTTGAATAGGAAAATGCTGGGTGAGAAGTATACTGTCCATTTACTGCTATTTTGCCAATGCTCAACTTGAGGCACTCTCTGATGTGATCTGCTGACACCTAGTGCTGATGTGTTAATTTAGCATACACACACATAATTTCCTACAATATATTGTGGCCCCCTTAAATAAAAACCCCTGCTTGCAGACTGCCTTGAATTTAAATTCCTGTACAAGGTGTGATAAAAGAAATACAGTGATTGTTTAAATAAAAAAGAAATTATTACATTGTATTAATACATGTAATTATTAATACATTGCCATTAATCCCCCTCAAAATACTCCCTTACTTCCAACACACTTATCCCATCGTTCTTGCCACATTGTGAAGCACTTCTGGAAGTCCTTTCATGAGTGTCTTTAATTGCACTGTCGTAGCTGCCTCGATGCCCTAAATCCATTCAAAACATTTACCTTTCGTGGTCATTTTGACTTTGGGGAAGAGCAGAAGTTGCCCAGTGCCAGATCCAGTGAATAAGGTGGGTGAGGATACACCATAATGTTTTTGATAAAAATTGCCATACCAGAAGGCAATGTGTGACACAGAGCCTTTCTGTTGTGATCACACAATACAGCAAATGCCCCTGCCGAGTGCCATCCAACAGAAAGGCAGGGATCTTCAATACGGGAAGCAGCACATCAAACCTAAGTAACAGTGTGTGACAAGTTTCAACCTGTTCAGTGCAGTCAGTCAGGTGTGAGCTACGGTTGAGAGGTGTGTTTTAAAGTGTGCTGTAAATCATCCTACATCATGACAATGCTCCGCGTCACCCATCACTTCTGGTATATGGCAATTTCCGTCAAATAAAAACATTACAGTGTGTCCTTATCCATTGTATTCACTGGGTCTGGCACCATGCGACTTCTGACTCTTCCCCAAAGTCAAAACGATCATGAAAGGTAAACGTCTTGAATCAATTCAGGACACTGAAGCAGCCATGACAGCACAACTAAAGACCGTCATGAGAGAGGACTTCCAGAACTGCTTCACAAAGTGGCAAGAATGATGGGATAAGTGTGTTCGAAGCAAGGGGGAGTATTTTGAGGGGGATTAATGGCAATGTGTCTTTTACTGTAACAAATTTTTTTTTTATTTAAACATTGAGCATATTGTTTGATCACACCTTGTCCATCATTATGATGCACTTATATCTTGGAATACTATGAAACGTTTATGTAAACAATCCACAGGGCTAAAAAAGTATGCTGCTTGTAATTTTTCTCTTCTCTCACCTGGTAAAATATCTAATGAAACTATACATGGTAAAAATGTGTCAAGTACTACTTGTTCTGACTTTTTTATGTCACACTCATGAAAGGAACTGAATTAGACTATATTTGGGATAGAACTAGAAGGTTCAGAGAAAGGTCAGACCATTGCACAGAAACTCAAGATTGTGACTGGAATGAAAATACAACAGGTGTTCCTTTTAGTAAATTCTTGAACTTTCTTTTACCCCAAAAGTACCCCTTGGGTTCTAAATAAAGGGAAAAGAAAAAGAAGGAAAAGACAAAGGTAATATAATTGCAGTAATAAGCATTCTCTTGCTCCAAGGACAGCAATTCTTTGGTTCAGCCATTTAAAATTAATGTTAATTTGAATTGTAGAATGTTAGGTGTATGAGCATTAAGATTCAACTTCTGATCTATATTAAAAATGCCTCTATATGTTTAATAACATCAATGGAAATGATATCCACTTGCACAAATACTAATACATTGTATTAATAACTTCTACGTTTTTTGCTGCTAGTTTGAAATAATCAGATCTTGTATTTTAGTAAAAATTCTGGTGCTAGAAAATGCTGGAATGTCAATTTTGAGTACCACTTGGTAACTCTATAAAGCAGTCTTATTCACTGTAAGACAGGGTTAGTATTTATGAGTATTTGAAACTTGAATTAAACAGTATCCAATCTATTTCTGGGAACCAAAAAACAATTCCTCACTGTGTATTCTTCATTTACAGCTATGGTTCTTATGAGTTTAGCATGTCTAGGCTACTGTGTGACATGTTATGACTCAAGTCTCTATCAAAGTTACTGTGAAATCTTTATCCACACATTTTTGTCATGATGTCCTTTGGCTTTCTTCTGATACTAACAAAATCCTAAACTCAACATGAAGCCAGGCACTCAAAACTTCATGTTTTAAGGTGCTCACTTGGAAAATCACAAATACCACTGTTTTAAAAATAGTATCAAAATATTTTTTAATCTTGTAGAGAATTGTAGGATTTTCTATGAATATATGCTTGGATCTCAGGCTGAGAAACACTGCCATGGATGACAGCCATTCATTCATTCAACAATATTTATTGAGGCTATTGTGTGTCTGGCACAAGGAATCCAACAATCAACAGACTGCCTGCCTTATGAACAACCTTATAGCTTAATAGGGAAGGAGGACAACAGAAAAATAATGACATAATTTCAGGCAGTGTTTAGTGCTGTAAAGAAAGTGAGCAGGATAAGGGACTGGAAGGTGAAAAGAACAGGGGTACTGTTTTAGAAAGGCTGGCAGCAATGGCAGCATGTCTGACATTTGAGACACCTAAATGAATATTATTTGGGGAAGAGTTTTCCAGGCAGAAGAAAAGCAAGTACAAAGGCCCTGGGACAGGAATGTACAATTCTTGGAACACCTGAGCACCACCCAGGAGGCTATTGTGGCTGAAGCCATGAGCCAGGGAAATAATGTCAGAGAAGCAACCAAGGCCCAGATCACACAGGGTCCTGTAATGCAGTCATGACTTTGGTGGTTCTTAGGAAAGAAACGGGATTGCAGAAGGCATGCTTTACATAGATGTGAGGTGGAACTACTGTCTCTAAAACTCAACTTTTTTCTTTTAATTTGTAAAATCGACTTTATTGAGGTATAATTAACACACAACAAACACACCCATTTTAAGAATACAGTCAGATGAGTTTTGGCAAATGTATACATCCATGTCACCATCGTTATAATCAAGATAAAGAATATTTCTATCATCCCCAAAAGTTCCCTTGTTACCTTCTGCTGTCAGTCCCCATCCCCCGACCCCACACTAGGGCCAGGACTCAACTGAAACTTGGGGACTCATTCTTTTTAATGTGGACTTTGAGGACCTAGGTCTGTGCTGTCCAAAATGGTAGCCACTAGCCACATGTGGCTACTTAAATTTAAATAAAATGAACAATCAGTTTCTTACTTGCACTACCCACATTTCAAGTGCCCAACAGCCACATGTGGCTAATGATTGTCATATTGGACAGGACTCTTCCATCACTGAAGACAGTTCTATTGGGCAATGCTGAGATGTTACCTTAGTGGAATCTGACCTTCACCACATGGAGGTAGGCCACGCAGCATGAAAACTGAGTAAGCAACATAAGCCTCATTACCCAGTTTTACGTTACTATCTGTGTTTATTACCTTTATCACCAAGTAATTAATAAAGCCCATGGGGATGGAAGGGGAAGGAATGTTCACTGGGATATCGTGATAATGGCAACAGTAACTATGGAGTTGTTCACTACATAGAAATCCTGTCTCCTTACTAAGTTTAAAGGCTATCCTATTTTTATTTAGGGAAGTGGTAATTTCCCTTGCAAGTCATAAGGCACAATTTTGTTTTAAGTAAAATTTAACCTCAAAATCATAGTCTTACTAAATCTATGTTTTTCTTTTTTGGAAGGGGGATTCTAAAGCAAATGTGCTAAAATATTATCTGTTAAACCTAGCAGTAGGGGCATGGATATTTTTTATATTATTTTTCCATACACTTTTGAATGTTTGAAATATTTTACAGGAATACTTTACAGATATCATGGGTTCCTTTCTAGACCATCACAATAAAGGAAGTATCGTAAAAAAGCAAGTCACACAAATTGTTTGGTTTTCCAGTGCATATAAAAGTTATGTTTATATTAATACTATACTGTTGTCTATTAAGTGCAATAGCATTATGTCTAAAAAGTGTACGTACCTTAATTTAAAAATACTTTATTACTAAAAAATGCTAACCATCACCTGAGCCTCCCGTGAGCTGTAATCTTTTTGCTGGTGGAAGGTCCTGCCTTGAAGTTGATGGCTGCTGACTGATCAGGGTTGTGACTGTGGAAGGTTGGGGTGGCTGTGGCAATTTCTTAAAATAAGACAATAATGAAGTTTGCTGCATCAGTTGACTCTTCCTCTTGTGAGGGGTTTCTTTGTAGTATGCAATGCTGTTTGATGGCATTTTACCCACAGAACTTCTTTCAGAACTGGAGCCAATCCTTTTAAACAGTGCTGCTGCTTTATCAACTATGTTTACTTAATATTCTAAATCCTTTGTTGTCATTTCAACAATCTTAATAGCATCTTTACTGGAAGTAAATACAGAGACACAAAGTGAGCCCATGCTGTTGTTAAAAATGGCATCAATAGAATTGCTCCACGCAGGGTTGCCACAAACCTTCAATTTGTAAAAAACGCAGTATCTGCGAAGTGCAATAAAGCGAAATGCAATACAAAAAGGTATGCCTGTAAAATAAAAAGTAGTCTTTCATTTTAAATATTTAATATTATCAAGATCGTTCTTGACGTGATTAAACAATACAGGTTAAAGACAGTTTACTATAGTACGGCATAACAGTCAGTACGGCAAAAGGGTCAGTATAGCAAAATAGTTAAGCGTATAGGCTCCGGAGCCAAAGTGCTTGTGTTTTAATCCTAATTATGCCACTTACTGGCAGTGAAACACTCAGCAAGTTACTTAACCTCTCTGTGCCTGTTTTCTCATCTGTAAAATAAGAATGATAATAGTACCTGGCTCATAAGGATATTATAAGGAGTAAGTAAATATATGTAAAGATCTTGGTGCACAGATGCTCAATAAGTGTTAATAGTTATGATGATGATGATACAACTTTGGTTTCTTTAAAAAGTACACTTTTTTTAGAAAAAAAATTGAGAGAACCATAAAAAATGTGAACCGTAACCTCTATTGTAACAGACTAATTTTAATTTTCCTCTTTTCTAAACATCAAGCAATTCCTTTTGTACTTAAAACAACAGAAAACAGAAACAAAATCTTGGCTTAAGCCCTTCCCCCAAAGTGCCCTATAGCCTGGTAAGCAATGATTTTCAAAGTGTGATCCTTGGACCAGCACCAGCATTACCAGAGAACTTGCTAGAAATGAAAATTTGCAGGCTTCCCCCTAGATGCACTCATTCTGGGGTGGAGTCCAGAAATCGCTTTTAGTTTTATATTTGATTCTGAGGCTTACTGAAGTTGAAGAACTACTGTGCTAAAGGCACATCTTCTAGCTTTTTTTTTTTAAG